CTGTGTGCAAACTGAATCTCTGTGACTCCTCCCAAATATGGAGGGAGGAATCTTCTATTTCATCTAGGAAAGCTCTACGAAGGAAGTCAAGAAGTAGCAGTGCTCCAAAAGCTTTGTCTCTCATCTTGTGGAGTGTAGTCTGTCCCTGGCTAGAGATTTAAGCCATTAGCCTTAGACAGACAAGCTAGCCCAGGCGGAAAGCATTACCAAACTCAGGTGTAGAGAGGGGTTGTGTGGACCAGAGGAAGGGTGCTCAACATAATTCTGTAGTCAAGAAATAACCTCAGAAAGTTTGAATCTTACTCCAGTATCCCTTTCCCTCAGGCCCCTAAAATTAAGTGCTCTCAGGGCCTGAAAGTCTCAGGAAATTCATTTTGCCACTGGAAAAATAGAGAAGTCTGGCCTGAGTATGTAAGGGAGATTGCATGGGTTTAGTATTTTAGCGATCCCACTCCAGATTTCTGGGAGACAATGATTTCTTCTGAGGAGTGATTGCCAAACACCATTCAATGTTAGATATCATGATCTAAGTGAGTAGAATAAAAACATTTGCCCCATCATTTCTGATAATGTAATGGGCAGGAAATGAAAAGTTTACGTTCGCCTAGAGAACGAATATAAAATATAAGAGCAAGGAAAAGAACCAGGAGGCTGGGAATCCTGCATTTTACTTACATCCTTGCTTCAAAGCTATGTTTAGAAGTCAAACTGAAGTAGTTCAATAGATTTCGGCCCCTCACAAACTTTTCTGGATCCTATGCTGACACAGGACTGATCTGCAGAGGCTGTTGCAGATGAGGCCTACAGTGCTCGTGGTGTATCCCAAACAAGGCCTGTAGCTGCAAGTAGCATGAGATGAGAAATAATACTGAGATGCATCTGTTAAGTTTTAAAGAAGAAACCTGAACTACTGCTGGCTTTAAGCAGCTCTGCTAATGTCTGCTCATGAAAACACTGTGGCTGGCCTGTTGAAAAGGTCACAGGTGAGGTTACAAAGAATACTTTAGAAACATGTAATCTTGTCTTGAGCCTCTCCAAATGTCTAATTCCTCAGCTGTTGAACAAGCACAGACATAAACAGTTGTTTGACAAGTTTTAGCTCCCACCTGCTAAGTTATAAGCTGCAGTGGTAGGCCAAACCCCAGTGTTCCCTTGTTAAGTATTTGAAGATGTCTTCATGGCTCTGATTTAAAACTGCCTATCATCCCTTCTCTCTAGCATGCTGCAGGCTACACATTGCAGCTCTGGCAATTCAGGGGTTTTATTTTTGCTTCAGAAGTAACAGTCCCTTCCCTCTCCATATATGGGAACACTTACCAGAGATAACCTCAAGATCCTGCAGCACCTGGGAGGAAGCATCTCAGAAGAGACTGGTGTGATGAGGAGTCACTGATGCCAGGCATGAGCACAGTGTGAGGCAAGATTGTTCCTCATGAAGAATATGCTCCCTTTCTGCTATAATATCCAGCACCCCTACTAAACCCTTTTCCTAGAAGAGACCCATCAGTGCTCTGAAAATGGGAGCCCAGCAGCAGTGCTCTGTCTGGTGAAAGATGTGACCCCAGATGAACAGAGTTGGCATCTTTGTTTATGGAAATACCTTTCTTCCTTTTCTGTTTTGTCTTTTTTTTTTTTCCAATTTACAATCACTTTCTATTTGTTTGTGCAGAGAAATAAACATGTGATATGCACTTTACATGTGGCATTTTGTCATTTTCTTTGCTTGGCACCCAGGAGGAATTGCTATCTGTACAGCACATGTATTTAGCACTACGTACTAGAAACTGCTAAGGACAAGAGAATATAAGGAGTTCAAAAAAGGATGGGATCTCTCAGCAATAAAAACACCTATGTTGGATTTAAAGTCTTATACATTAAAAATATATTTAAAAAATTAAAAATACATTAAAAAAGCCCCATGGAAGCAAAAACTTAAGTGAGATCCAAAACTTTGATACTACAGATTATAAAACACTCACTCACTGACAGGTTGAAGACATTTGTGGACCAGCCTGAGCTGGCCTGCCCCATGACTGCCCCTCAGCCTTTTCCAACATAAACCCTACCCTCTGCTTGTAAATCCAGTACCAGTGGAAGTTGGTCAGCTCTGATAAAAAAATCCAAATAGAAACTTGCACTGAACAATTCAACTTAATATTAGCCAAGATATCAGAAAAACAAGTCAGTCAGAAAATCAAATATATCCCATTGTTTTCCCAGGCTCCAAATATAATTCTCACTCTAAACTTAACCCAATTCATGTTAAAGTCTACTCAGTTTCTGGGTCCTGAGAGGTTCATTGTGTTCAGTTTAGGACAAGTGTTAGCAGGTTGCCTTTCCCAGACATACCTCACTCACAGATAGCACATCCTAAGCACTGCAAAAGACTCTGGGATCAGATGTAGGATTAGACTGC